TTCGACTCGAATTCCACTTCGCCTACTTCGATTCGCTCATCTCTAATTATAATTTTTTTAACTTTTTACATTTTTTTTTATATTATTTTTTTATCATTTTTATTTTTTACATACTGTCACCCTAGCAGTACAGTGTCACCATGGTGACACTGTACTACTTATGGGGGGTGATGAAAATGTATTAATTTTTTTACACTGATTGCTTTTACACCCATAAAGGATGTAAAAGCAATTATTTCTCCTATCTAGCTGCATTCTTGCAGCCATTGAGAACTACTGGGTGAGCTGTGATTGGTCACAGCTTGTCACATGGTACAAGGCTGTTGTGAATAGCCCTGTACCATGTGACCTCTGTGATCATTCAGATTTCACACGTAGGAAGCAATGATGTCACAAGTGACATCTTGCTTACTACTCTGCATGTGTTCACTGATTGGCCAATCAGCGGTTACATGATCGGGATCTCGTACAGAGGTCCCGTCCGACGATTGGTGTTCCACTGTGTCCAAAGGACACAGCGGGCACCAGATCACGGTGCTGCGCGCTCCCTGGGAGCGCGCACAAGCAGGGTGTGGGGAGGCCGTTTATAAACGGCCACCCGACCCTGCAGTGCCACCATCTGGCCATTTATATCCTAGATTGTAAGCTCGAAAGAGCAGGGCCCTCAAACCCCTCGTGTTTTGCATTGTATTGTTACTGTACTGTCGCATGTTCTGTCCCCCTTTGTAATGTACAGCGCTGAGCGAACTATTGGCGCTTATATAAATACTGTATAATAATAATAATAATAATATACAACGGCCAGACGGGAGGTGGTTAACGGATAAAAAAAAAGGATGTAAACGGATCAAAACGGATGAAAAATGGATGTAAAAACGGATGAAAAAAGGATGAAACGCGGATGTAAACAGATGAAAAAAATGGATGTAAACTCATCCATTTTTTCTTTGAAAAAACCGTGACCGAACTGAATAAAAAAACAAACAAAACAAAAAACAAAACAAAAAAACCCAGAACGCCCGTGTGAAAGGACCCTTATTTTTCTACTTTTTGTATCAGGCCAAGCTGTCCAGCTGAAAGTGCAATCAAAGGTTGTAACAAACCATTTGACAGTGACTAGAGTTAGGTTTTAATTTTGTTTGTTTCTTTAAAGTATAACTAAAAGGCAAAACTTTTTTTGTAGTCTTGGATAGAGTGGAGAGGGATAAAGCCCCGTTTTTATTGCGGTGTCCCGTTAGGGAGATTTATCCTTTTTTTTTTTCCCAAATTCTTTATTTAAGTAGACAATACTGCATTCACAGAGCAATAAAATATAGCAAAACCATACAAATCAATAAAGGGTAACACCCATAGAGTACAAAAGTCATCAAGAAAAAAAATACCACAACAACGGGTATAGACAATATAAAGTGTAAAGTAAACTCTTGTAGAACCTAGAATTAGCCCTTAGGCCACAAAAAATAAAAGCTAAGCACCTCAAAGATGGATCTGACTGCAACTATGAATGCCCAGGGTATGTCTATGTTTATGGACTGTACAAAGAGATTTACCGTATTTGTCCTGATTACCATTATCACTTGGCTAAGTGCTTAGCACTTCCACCTGGCAGTACTAGGGTCGCTGGATTGAATCCCAGCCTCGGCACTATCTGCATGGAGTTTGCATGTTCTCCCTGTGCTTGGGTGGGTTTCCTCCCACACTCCAAAGACATGCTGATAGGATAATTGGCCCTAGTATGTGTATGTATGAATGTGAGTTGGGGATCTTAGATTGTACGCCACTTGAGGGTTAGGGACTGATGTGAATGTACAGCAGTCCCTAACCAGCACTAAGTAAAAGAAAATCCCAAAGTTTGGGTTTTCCCCAGTAACGTAATAGAGGGGAAATCTTCCAATGGGGACACTATTCAAGTAACCTGGGGATCCCTAAGGGATTGCTTTACCAATTCCCACCCGGCCTATTGCAAAATGATGGCTGGGCGGGACTTTCATAGTTTCAGGTGGATGTCATATGATGTCCTCCCAGAATGCACCTCATGCATGGGCGTGTGCCTGCGATCTGTCATCGGCTATGTCCACCGGACACAGCTGAAAGATCACTGTACCCACCCGCTACTGGTACCATGTGATCAATCACATTAGATTACATGACAATTGTAAACAATAAATGGCTTCAATGCCATTCATTGTGTAAAATTATGTTGCTAGCTGTAATTGGTCAGAGTGATCACATGGTACAGACAGGGCCAACCACAGCCCATCTGTACCATGTGATTAGCTGAGGCCAATCACAGCTAATCACAATACACACTGAATGAATCAATTTCATTTATTAAAACTGGTTGCAAATACCAGTGAAATTCACTAGTATAAGCAATCATACTAGTATAAGCAAAAAAAAAAAAATCCTGATCACTTCCCCAGAGTAGTACAATGATATTATGGTAACATTATATTGCTCTGGTCACAGTGTATTAAAAAATAGTAAAAAAAAAAAAAAAAAAAAAAGGTATGCGGTGACACTGAACTGCACTAGTGACAGTATGTGATTTTTTTTTTCTTTAGTAATTTTTAAAAACAACTGGGAGAAAAAAATTACAATTTCAAAAAAAACTTGTCATGCCTCTTACCAAATACCTCAGACTGTTTTCTCTAACAACAGCAAAAAACAAACAAAAAAACACAAAACAAAACAAAAAAAAAAAAAAAAAAACCCAAATCCCCCCCCCCCCAAAATAAACGAAAACACAAAAAAAAAAAAACCCAAGACAAAAAAGACAAAAAAAAAAAAAAAAAGGGCAGACTTGATGGACTACTTTTTCTGCCATCACTTTTCTATGTTTCTACTTTCCAAGAGGGGGTAATTTGGGGTTACTTGTACTGTCTTGACATTTTTGGCAGGTAAGAAATGAGATAGGCCGTCAATACATCAGGATTGATCGATTTGAGATATAGATCATAATTTGTGGGCTCTGTAACTTTCCTACAGACTAAATAATAAACAACGATTTGGGTTAATTTCACCAAATGTAGCAGAATACATTTTGGCCTAAATTTTTGAAGAACAATTTTTTATTTGCAAATATTTTATAACAGATACGAAGCAAATGGGTTTTTTTTACTAAAGTTTCGATCTTTTTTCATTAATAGCTTGGGTACAGTGTTGCATGATGGCGCAATTGTCATTCAAAAGTGCGAGAGTGCTTAAAGCTGAAAATTGGCCTGGGCAGGAAGGGGATGAAAGTGCCCTGTATTGAAGTGGTTAATTTTCAGAGATTTCCTCTAACTTCCTGTTTGGTTATGGGACAGGAAGTAAAGGAAAATCTCCAAAATTAACTGGTTCCCGCTCGGCCTATGGCCAAATGGCGGCCAGCAAAAACCCTCACCGTTCCAGGTGGACGCCATATGGCGTCCTTTCGGGCATGCACAGTTTGTGCGCCTGCAGAGCCGCGCGATCTGTCACCGGCCGTGTACCTCGGACACGGCCGATGACAGATCTGAGTACCAGCCCCGTTGCCGGTACCATGTGACCTGCTGTGACCAATTACAGCAGGTCTCATGACAGTTGTATACAATGGATGGCTTCATTCATGCCAACCATTGTATACTAGTGTGTCTAGCTGTGTATGGTCACAGCGATCACAAGCACAAGCTGGACCAATCACAGCCCAGCTGTGTCATGTGATTAGCCATGGCCAAATCACAGCTAAGCACAAAAAAAAGAAAAAAAGCCCTGAATGAATCGATGTCATTCAGGTAAATGCTTGCTTATAGCAAAGTGATTCTTCGCTATAAGCAAATTGTGTAAAAAAAAAAAAAATACTGATCACTTCCCCAAAGTAGTACAATGTTACTATGGTAACATTGTACTACTTTGGTCATAGTGAAATATGAAAAAAAAAATCTGAAAAAAAAAAAAAAAGTAAAAAAAATTATATATTTTTTTTCCCATACTGTCACCAGTCAGTGTCCCTGATCACCGCCACACCAGTTATATGATGATGCTGTACTGCACTGGTGACAATATGTATATAAAAAAAAAAAAAAATAGTGAAAATAATTTTTTTAATTTTTTCATTTTCCGAAAAATTACAAAAAAAACCACAACTTCAAAAAACTCGCCATGCCTCTTATGAAGTACGTCGGACTGTCTACTTTGCAAAAAGGGGGCATTTGGGGGATATCTGTACTATTCTGACATTCTTGGACCTCAAGAAATTAGATTGGCTGTCAGTACTTCAGGATTGATCAATTTTCAGATCTATACCATAGTTTGTGAACTCTATAACTTTCCTACAAACTAAATAATACATCCTAATTTGGGTTATTTTCACCAAAGACATGTAGCAGAATACATCTCGGCCTAAATTTATGAAGAACAATTATTTATTTGCAAACGTTTATAACAGAAACAAAGAAAAACTTTTTTTTTTTTTTTTTTTCTAAATGTTTGGTCTTTTTTTTGTTAATTTAGCAAAAAATAAAAACCCCAGCGGTGATTAAATGCCACCAAAAGAAAGCTCTAGTTGTGTGAGGAAAATGATAAAATTTTAGTTTGGGTACAATGTTGTATGACCGCGCAATTGTCAAAGTGTGAGCGCTGAAACCTGAAAAATGGCCTGGGCAGGAAGGGGGTAAAAGTGCCCGGTATGGAAGCAGTTAAATGCAGAAAAAAAAAAAAATCTGACACGGGTTATAAACCCTCCCTTGCTCTATCCCAAATTAAAGAAAAACATGTTCCTATAGATCTACTTTAAAGTGTTACTAAACCCAAAACAGTAACATCAGTCTGTATATGCAGTAAAGCATGCTTGTTATACTCACTGTGGAACTTAAGTGGTTAATCCTCTGCATTGTGTAAAGAGGTAGTTTGATCCTCTCTTCTCTGTTCCTCCCCTTTTTCAAGTGACCACCTCTTGTCTCCTGATAAGACAGACTGAACTTTTTGCACAAACTGTGCATTTTGCACATGCTCAGTTTGGTGTGTATTGCTAGAGAGGTTTTTTTTTTTTTCTTGGGAGAGTGCATGTGATCAGCACAGGGACAATCAGCACTGGTCAGACAGAGGTCAGGGTTCTGCATCATCCTATAGCAGAAAGAAAACTCCTCCTACAAGCTTTAGCTAGTGCTTAGCTAGACACTGATAGAAGCCACAAGGCTGCTCTAACTTCTGATGAGAAAATGTATTTTGCAGTTTAGATTTACAAAAATAATTGCATTTCCATGTTGTGTGTATTGTGCGAGACCAGATATAGTGAATGCAGGGTCCTGGGAGACCAGACATAGTGAATGCAGGGTCCTGGGAGACCAGATACAGTGAATGCAGGGTCCTGGGAGACCAGATACAGTGAATGCAGGGTCCTGGGAGACCAGATACAGTGAATGCAGGGTCCTGGGAGACCAGATACAGTGAATGCGGGGTCCTGGGAGACCAGATACAGTGAATGCGGGGTCCTGGGAGACCAGATATAGTGAATGCGGGGTCCGGGGAGACCAGATATAGTGAATGCAGGGTCCGGGAATGCGGGGTCCGGGGAGACCAGATATAGTGAATGCGGGGTCCGGGGAGATCAGATATAGTGAATGAGGGGTCCTGGGAGATCAGATATAGTGAATGCGGGGTCCTGGGAGATCAGATATAGTGAATGCGGGGTCCAGGGAGATCAGATATAGTGAATGCGGGGTCCAGGGAGATCAGATATAGTGAATGCAGGGTCCTGGGAGATCAGATAGTGAATGCAGGGTCCTGGGAGACCAGATATAGTGAATGCAGGGTCCTGGGAGATCAGATATAGTGAATGCAGGGTCCTGGGAGATCAGAATTAGTGAATGCAGGGTCTTAGGAGATCAAATATAGTGAATGCGGGGTCTTGGGAGACCGGATATAGTGAATGCGGGGTCCTGGGAGACCGGATATAGTGAATGCAGGGTCTGGGGAGACCAGATATAGTGAATGCAGGGTCCTGGGAGACCAGATATAGTGAATGCAGGGTCCTGGGAGACCAGATATAGTGAATGCAGGGTCCTGGGAGACCAGATATAGTGAATTCAGGGTCCTGGGAGACCAGATATAGTGAATGCAGGGTCCTGGGTTTAGTAACAGTTTAACCAGTTAGTACCAGCCTGTAACACCCTTTCATTACCAGGCCATTTTTCAGTGCTGTGAGGGTTAAAAAACACTCACACAATCAGCCCCCTCCTACCCTGTATCTGCTGTTCTGGAACTAATGAATGGTTCTTTATTTAATTAGTTCCTCCTATCTCCCCTTCCTCCATTGTAAGGGGCAGGCCTAAACACTAAAAACACTACACTGTTTACATCTGTGATCACTGTGATTGGTCAAAAGACAGCTTTGCAAATATTGTGCAACCATTATATTCTCCGGGGCCTCTGCAATTGTTTTTTGGTTTAAAGCAATTTTCTAGCAAAATATGCAGATTTTAACGTGAGCAAAAAAAAAATAAAGAAATGAATAACTTGCTCTGGTAGACAAGTAGTTAATGTACATCAAACATCATTAAAATTGCAGACAATGTCACATCTGAGCACTTCATTTAAAATGTTCTCATGTACACAACCAACACACAGGAAACAGAACATTTCACTGTGCTTCTCACCAAGGGAATGACATGAAAATAGCACTGGTGTCATTTATTGCTCTCTGGGGCTCCATTCTGATGCTAATCAAACTGACAGAAACATCTGACATGATTTAACATAAAAACAATAAAAAAAATGAAAAAATGATTTTAAAAAATTGGATAGGAAGCAAATATGTTATTTTTCTTTCAGAAAACACCGGATATACACTCACCGGCTGCCTTATTAGGTACACCTGTTCAATTGCTTGGTAACACAAATTGCTAATCAGCCAATCACATGCATCTAGACATGGTGTAGACAACTTGAAGTTCAAACCGGGCATCAGAATGGGGAAGAAAGGGGATTTAACCACTTCAAGTCCGGACACTTTCACCCCCTTCCTGCCCAGGCCAATTTTCAGCTTTCAGCGCTGTCACACTTTGAATGACAATTGCGCGGTCATGCAACACTGTACCCATATGAATTTTTTAGAGACAGATAAAACTTTATTTTGGTGGTATTTATTCACCACTGGGATTTTTTTTTTTGCTATATGAATGAAAAAGTCCAAAAATTTTGAAAAAAAAAAAAGTGTTTCTTATACAATTTAGCAAATCTTTTTTTCATAAATCTTGGCCAACATTTATTCATCTATCTTTTTAGTAAAAATATAACCCAAAATTAGTTTATAACCAACAATTATAATTTTTCAAAAATTATTTTTTTACATTATTTATTTATTTTTTTTAAAAAACATTGTCAC